CTCGCTACCTTCGACACTCTCTTCTTCCCGTTCACACTCCTTCTCTCTCTATAACCGTTTTCCATCTCTCCCTCGCCTCGCATGCCCTTTCCCTTTCTTGATTGTCTGAATCTTGGTTCCGTTTCGTGCTATCCTTCGCGTTTTTCTTCTTCCCGCTCTAAACCTTGCGCCTGAATACCCTGATGATTTCCTCCTCCTCCCCTCTAGCCAAGGAGACGAGTCGTGTAAGAAGGATATACCTGTTACACGACGATTCTGATTGGCTACGACTGGGCTCCGAAGGATCGACATGACTTTCGACGGACGATTATCCCCGAACTTCCCCCTACCCCTTCCTACCTCAGTCCTAACCCTTCCTAGCGTCTATCTCTTTTTCCACAGTTATAAAGTCCGCAAGCACTCCCGAAAATCTCTCTCTCAACTCATCTGCCAGCTTCCGGGAAGCAGTGGCTAGAGGGTGTGTGTGAAGGGCGAGTCAAAGAATCCTGACGGGCTGGCTTTAGTCTTGTCGGCTGTGCGCTGGATCGCCCGTCGGATTGTGGGATCCGGGCCAGACTGTGCAGAGACTAAGTTGGCGGGGTGACGATCGCTACGGTGGATTAGCACGTGACGGTCGGGATCGCCACAGATTCGCCAGTGCTCGTGAGAGGTTCGAATCGGGAGTTGAGTGAACACATGGCCTGGGCCCATGGTGGAATCTTATAGCGGAAGCACCTCTTTTTGTCCCAAAATCTGTATCTTCGAGCGTGAGTTCTGATCACTCGGCTTCTAAGGCGGAATTTCCCCTGACAAGATCGTCAAACATTCTGTGATTGCTTTCTACTCTTTCCTCCCGTCTGATCTGTGTCTATTCTCCCTCACTCTCTCCTTCTGTTATGTTTGTTATAATAGATTGATTATAGTAACTTTGCTTCTCTCACTTTGATATGTGCATGCAGTGGGTCCGACTGGGTCGTACTAGAGAGCTTGTTGTAACATGACTTAGATGATGATTGGCTGATCGATTGGATGATCTGGCTGCTCAGAGTGTCGAACGAATGATGTATGGTTAGGAAAAAATTTTGTGCTTGCTTTTGTTGCCATGTGGATTGACGGCCCCAACCCGACTGGGCGCCAGCTTCCCGTGCCCCGCCGCGCCCCTTCCCGTACAACGAGGAAAGGACACGTGTATGCGAGTGGGACATACGAGAAGTCGTCGCTAGGATCGGTGAGCGCTACTATTTTCCTCCCGAAACTCGGTGTTCTGGATTCGTCGGTGCGGGTTTTGTTAATGTTGATACGCACTTCCCGCCCTAATAGGCTATTCGTTGTTGTTGCCATTTAACGATTTGATCGTCATCCCGTGGACGGCAGTAGAGCCTCGTTGGCCTAACACTCTGTGCAGCGATTGTTGCCGCTTCGAGCGTTACCGAGCCAAGGGTTTCCACTACCGCACGCGTAGTGAGACGGATATATGGAGAGGGCTACTCGATTGAAGCCCTCCACGTCGGACTCGGAGTTGCATAACGAGCACCGACGAGACCTCATCCGTAAACGGGATACCACGTGTGTACCCGGCCCCTTTCACGCGAAACAAAGAGCGACGGCTCGTTGGGAAGTTCAGCGATACTTTTTGGATTGATTTTCCCATAGCCGCGAGCCCCGCATGCGCCTTTCTCTCCCTTAAACCCGCTCGGCGACGTACCTCCTTCTTACTAGGGTCGGACCAACACGGGGGATTTTGGTTCTGCCTGTCCCCACACTCAACTTTGCCAAAAAACCTTGGCACACCGCATCTTTGCTGGCTTCCCGGGGCCCTTCCGCAAACCAAAACGCTCCAACTGGGAAGCAGCGCAGGGCGTGAGGTTGAGCTTCACACCAGGCACATTCTTGAGGTCCTTTCTTGAGGTCCTACCATGAGTTCCTCAAAGGTCTATGGGCGTAACGAATTTTGCAGGCTGGGCACTCTTTACTGACAGGTATTTGGGTAGTGGAATCGGATAGTTAGAGTATACTCACACAGTCACACCAGGCCCTCAAAATCACAAAATCGCAAAACGAGCAGCCAGATCAAGTCCTCCTTTTACAACGACTCAATCCGGCCGCTGATTTTGTGATTTTGAGGGCCTAGTGTGAGTACGCCCTGAGTGCAGCCATGAAAAACTCTCCAAATTGGAGAGTTGGAGAGTACTGCACGGAGACCGTAAGGTAGGAGCTCTTGGCCGGGTGTGAGGTGAAGTCGAGAGAAGAACGTGTCTTACTTTTGAGGAAAAGAAAATGGAGAATACTTGATATGCCCCTGAAAGTTTGATTTATTTGTGGCGTGCCCCTCCGATGGCCGACTTAGCCTGCCGTGCCCCAGGGGCCTCTGAGCTTTCCTGCAGCCCCCTGTCAGTGAGGGGCGCAACCTTCCAGCATGCCCCTGTGGCCGCTGGGGGCACTCGCGGCCCTTCCCCTGGCCGTGGGAAGGGAGCTACCAGGGTGGGAAGGGAGCTACCAGGGCATACTGAATATTTGGAATGGGTACTGGTAGGGGCATATTGGACATATTTCAGGCGCAAACAATGCCAGGGTTTTTTCTGAAACTTCAATCGTTGTCAGAGGGGCGCCAGAGGCTAAGTCTGACCTCAGAGGGGCACACCGCAAATAAAACGAACTTTCAGGGGCATATCAAAATGTTTTTCAAAAAAAAAATAAAATTGGTCAGGTTTTCCACCTGTCCAGACCGGCAGTCTGGCCATGCAGGGATGCTACTCGTTGAAAAGGGAACTTCGCACCCACCAGCAGGACCTGGTGCGAGACCGGCTACAGCAGGTAGGCGATACCGGCCAGGGATCAGCCAGGACCGAGCTTGTTGGCTTGAGCACGGATGTGGCTGCTACGGGGTTCCCCGTAATATGATGACAATAAAAAAGGCCTGAAAGGCCGTCCTGTTCAGATTCGACAGATAACTGAATTAATTGGCCAAAAAAAAAAAAAGAAAAAAAAAAAGGGAATTTTGGCGAGGTAGTGCGGCGAGGGTGGTGCGGCGAGGGCGCTCAGGAGAGTCCTCACACAGACAAACACGCCAGTCGAGGATGTAGCTAGGTCGGCAGGTAGGGAGAGAGAGAGAGAGAGAGAGAGAGAGAGAGAGAGAGAGAGTTGAGAGAGAGAGAGCAATGTACACGCAGGCCGGGGAGTTCTCACACAGACAAACACGCCACTCAGGGGAGTCCTCGCACAGACAAACACGCCAATCGGGGATGCCACGTGAAGGAAGGTAGGTAGGTAGGTACGGAGGGGGAGAGGTGTGTGTGTGTGTGTGTGTGAGAGAGAGAGAGAGAGAGAGAGAGAGAGAGAGAGAGAGAGAGAGAGAGAGAGAGAGAGAGAGAGATGAATGGTCCTAGAGAGAGAGAGAGAGAGATGAATGGTCCTTGAAGGCTAGGTTTGACTTTGGGGGATGTAGCCGCATTGTAGCGTGCACAAGCTGCACTTTTAAAAATTAGCGGGGATAGCATGTGGACCCCGCTGGAGAATTGCTGTCGACATTGGGCGATGATAGTTGTATTCGGCGAACCGCTGGGTGCACGGGGAGAATTGCTGTCGATACTGAGCTATGATTAGTAGTTTGTATCTGGCGGCGAACGTGGCTTTCATTGTCATGATAGGAACCTCCTGGTCTGATCGGGAGGAAAGTTCTCAGCAATCTCACCGACAGTAGAATGTTGACTATCCGAAGTCCATGTTTGGAATTCCTCCTTCACAGAGAAGATAATACACCTCTAGAAATTCTCATAGCATCGGAATTGACCTCTCATCGTAGCTGCATCGAAATTGGCCTCTTCCTCCGGGGGAGCACCCCCCTTCGCCGGAGGAAGGTACTTTTCTTCCGAGTCGACGCTTTTTCTCGTTTCATGCGTGTCATCCTTGCACAGGGGCCAATGGCATGCTAATCGAGATTCTCTGTCTGATTCCAATCAATTCTTACGGACGGATGTCCCGGAGGACATCGACGTTCCTTTAGCCCCCGACGTATCGAAATTCTCTGCTTCGTCATCATCATCAGATCGAAGTTCGAGGGAGTGCTCGGTTATCAGCGCAACGAAGGTTGAAGTGAGCGCCGCGCGGTTATCAGCGAGGTCTGATCGATGAATATGCGAGGTCTGATCGATGAATATGCTCCATAGACGGGATTTCAAAGCAAATTCTTAAGTTAACTTGGTAAAGAGTTTTGACGAAGAATAGGAAACAACAGGGTCGAGTTTTGACGAGGACGAGGAAACACCAGAGTCGAGTTTTGACGAAGACGAGGAAACAACAGAGTCGAGTTTTGACGAAGAGGAGGAAACAAAAGGTTCGAGTTTTGACGAAGAAGAGGAAACGAATTGATTTCGAGTTATGACGAAGAGGAGGAAACGAATATTGATTTTGTGTTTTGAGGAAGAAGGGGAAGCGAATTAATTTCGTGTATTGAGGTTTTGACGAAGACGAGGAAACGAATTCGAGTTATGAGGACGAAGAGGAAAAAAAAATAATTTCGTGTTTTGTTGAGGTTTTGAGGAAGAAGAGGATAACGAAGTCGCGGGAAGGCGATATGGACTCAGCGACGTTGACGAAGAGGAAACAAAATTCGGCGAGTTAGGAACCCCGGAAGAAAGGCCGGGGGAGTGGAGATTGGCGTCACGGTGGTGGTTGTTTTTTTTTTGGGGGGGGGGGAGGGGGGGGGGGGGGGATGAGGAAAGGAGGGGAGAGGAGAGGAGAGGAAAGGAAAGGAAAGGAGAGGATAAGAGAGGAGAGGAGAGAAGATAAGACGGACAGAGCGGAAAGGACAGGAATTAGCGGGCAGTAGAGCAGGGAGAGTGAAGAAGGAACTTCGCGCAGTTATAGCGAGAGGGAGTCTAATTTAGTCCCAGTGCTTGCTAAGAGTTTTTGAAGCAAGCGGTTCAGGCAATGCATTTGATTATTAAATTTTGCTGATTAGTTCTTTTTCCAATTAGTACTAGTGCCAATGCTAATTAGTCTCTTCAGGCTTCAGGTAATTAGTATTTTTTTTTGGCCATAGCGTTCAAAAATTTCTAACTTATTATCATCTAATTTATCTAGTTTGTCCACACTTCGGTTCGGGCCCTTCTTCTAGATTTCAATATCATAATGGCGGAAAACAGAAGAGGAGACTCCTTTGCATCTCCCAAACCAATGTTGGGACCTTCTTCTTCTTCTTCGAAACCTTGGACGGAGTCGATGGGCAGAAAATTGGAAAGGGGAACATCGGATTCGGTGGGAAAGGATTCGACGCGCGCTCCTGGGAGGCAATCAACGCGGGGCGGGTCGATAGAAAGAGGAACGTCGGATGGGCGGTCATTTGGGTCGAAGTCGTCGATAAGGGAGAGAGTCTTGAGAATGAAGAGCTTCAATGCAAGCAACAGACAGTTTAGCAAACTGAGAGATTCGAGGTGGAATACGGTGAAGAGGAAATTTCGCCGGTTTGCGAAGATAGTGACGAGGGCTCGAGACAAACTGTTTGAATGGGACAAGAGCGGACAGAAGAAGCACGTCAAGGCGGCCGAGGAGACACTCGACACCTATCACGAGTCCTATCTGTACGGCCACGTGCCCTTCACCATTCGACTCAGGGCCGCTCTCAGAGTGGGCAGAGTGGGGAACACTTTGGCAGTGGTAAGGATGTGTGTGTGTGTGTGTGTGTGTGTGTGTGTGTGTTTCCTGTTTTTCTTTTTTACTGTTGCTATTACTTTTTTTCTACTTTTTTTATTTTAATGAAACTTAGTCGATTGATGTTGCAAAAAATAAAATTCAATTTGAGGCCAGGGACCTCGGAATTCAACCCGTCGGAGGTTTTTTTTTTTTCTTTTCTTGTTTCGAATTTATTAATGTAGAAATTGCATCACACCGTTAAGTTTCTAAACTCAACAGCGGTAGGTGGGACCAGACCGGGTCCCCTGGTAGCATTAGCATTATTACCCAGTTTGCCTTAGTACGAGCTTTTTTTTTTCTTTTTTTTTTTTGTACGAGCATTTTCGCTGAGTCTCAAAAGTTACAACAACCGGGAAAAAGGAAAAAAAAAAACGTTATTTTAATTATTTGATTGTTTTGATATTGTACTTCTGTTTTTTTTTTTTTTTTTTCCAACCCGGGAAATTCCTGGGATACCGCCGAGATAGCCTGGGCATTTTGCAGGGGAAGCCCCCTGGCGTTGCGGTCCCATTTACTTAGCACTGACGTTGCTCGTTCTGAGCAACTGATGACTCCAAAAAATGAATTACAAAAAAAAAAAAAGAATCAACGCGTCCTCGGGGGCATCCGCTACTAAAATTGGAGCGACGATGCAGAGATGATTAGCATGACCCCTGCGCAAGGAGAGAAAAGAAAAAAGGAAAAAAGAATCAACGGCCCGACGTGAAGAATCCGTCGATGTAATCGGGACCTGGGCCCGGGACGGACTTCGACTTCCTCCCCTTCGTGCTTGGGACACAGTCGGAAACTGCCGGTCTTTTTTTTGGGAAATTTGCAAAATACCCCTGAAAAGCTCACGTATATGCTCAATTACCCTTAGAAGATGTGAGTAGAGTGGAATACCCCCCTCAAATTTCAAAATTTCGTCAAATGCCCTTTCGGATCTCATGGCTTTCCAATCTACCGCCATCAGGGTATTGTGCAAGTTGCGTTTTTGCCCCTGACAGAGGTATATTTATGCAAAGATTAAAATTCCAAAAGGGCATTTCAAAAACTTTTGAAATTTCAGGGGGGTATTCCGCTCTACCCACCTTTTTTGGGGTTATTTTAGTATAGGCGTGAACTTTCGGGGCTATTTCTCAAATTTCCCCTTCCTTTCAGTTAATTGAAAAGCTAAATTCCCCTTTCTTTCAGTTCATTGAAAAGCTCACAACGTTCTGAAAGGGTGCAATCCGATTTGTCAGTTTCTGGCCCTAGATTGCGTATATCAGCAGTCAGAAATGAAGAATCAGCTTAACAAGTGGGACTTGGGCCCGCGGGCCATGTCCCACCTGTCCCACTTGTCGAGGTTTAGTTCTGGTTCCCAGTATAGATGGCTTCCTGCCATCCGATCTGAAAATCTCACCCTTGTCCCACTTGTCCCACTTGTCGAGGTTTAGTTCCGGTTCCCAGTATAGATGGCTCCCTGCCATCCGATCTGAAAATCTCACCGCCACAGTGTTACCGCGTTGAAAAATACACGGATCAAAAACTAAACCCCCACTACGGTCTTACCCCAACACAACCCACCCTCTATTCGGCTGTATCTGACTGGAAATATAGCTTGTATGCAGTCATTATCAGGTTCAGTTATGTTCGGGGGAAGACGGTAGAGCGACTTGGTCGCGGGCCTTCCATGGCAAGGTCTCACGTGCAGTAATTGAGAGATGACAATGGCCGCCGTCAGTATCTCTTACTCTTTAATCCCTGCAAGCGGGAATGAGCGCCACGCCTGAATCTGGACGAGTTTGTGAAGTTAGTGAGGAATACACGACTGAGCTGCTTTTCTGCATATAGCCATTAAAGGCATCCAGATTCAAGCGCTTATTAATCCAATCCTGTTGGTGGGACGGCGCTCCCGGATAGGCATTCACGAATGCACCTGGAAGGAGGGGGCGAGGGAGGGAGGAGGAGGAGGAGGAGGAAGAAGAAGAAGAAGAGGAAGAAGAAGGAAGAAAAAACAAACAAAAAAAAAACAAGTGGCACCTCGCCCTCCAAGCACAAAAAAAAAAAAAAGTGGGTCACCGCCCTGAAAAACAACAAAACAAATCGGGCCTCGCCCCAGGGGCTAGGTCCCACCAGCAAGGAGGATTGAATTTTAAGCTCCTGAATCTGGAAGTGTTTTGTGCAGAAGTGCAGAAAAGCAGGTTCAATCCCGATTTTCTGCCCCTTGCCACAAACACGTCCAGATTCGGGGGTCCAATCCCATCCTCCTCGGTTGTGGGACCTCGCCTCAGGGGTTCAGACTTGGTTTCCACTCTCGAGTAAGTACGGGTTCCTGTCATCTGATCTGAACATCTCACGGCCGCAATGTGGCCATGCTGAAAATTACCCGAAAGGAAGACTAAACCTCCGCGGGACTTAGCCCCCGGGGCGCGGTCCCACTAGCAGAGAGGATTGGATTTAACGCCTGAATCTGGACCTGGTTGTTTAGAGATGCAGGAAAGCGGATCAATGGCAATTCTCGGCACCTCTCCACAAACACGTCCAGATTCAGGCGTTGAACCCAGTCCTCTGTTTGCTGAGAGATGCAGGAAAGCCGATCAATGGCAATTCTCGGCACCTCTCCAGAAACACGTCCAAATTCAGGCCTTGAACCCAGTCCTCTTTCAGGCTCTTTGCTAGTGAGACCTAGCGCCCAGTGTACTTCTCCCATTTTGTTATCTCTATCAGCTTCTGATCCGACAGTGCGTAAGTTAGCCAATTTCTTTGAGAAACTCGGATCCCACCACTTTCCCAAATCACAGGGCGCGGGGCTTTGTTAGGCGTGACATGTGTACGTCGGCGGTGATGAACGGCCCAACGGTGCTACACAAAACGGAAAGGTTGGAGAAAGCTGCCGCAAAAATGAGTTTCCCTTTTTAATGTCCGTCCATGGAGCAGAGAACTGTACGACGCTGGAGGCCAGGCCATATGGTGGACCACAGGAAGGACAATCTGGGAAAGCCCCACAGAACCCACCTGTGTGGGGTCATGGTTTGCTTTTCCGCCCCGCACTACCCGTGTCCATCTTTCAAGGTACTTTCTTGTTTTTTTCTCTTTTTATGGATTGTCGGATCAGCGCCTGCCTTCATAATTTTATTTGCTCATTTTTTCCTATATATTTCACATTTTTCCCTTTTTTTTTCCCCTTCCCTATGAATTTCACTGTTGCTGTTTCATCTTTTCCCTATCAAGCGTCCTTTCTTTTTCCTTAGAAAGGACAACGGCCTTGAGATACCATCTTTGAGCTGGCCGCCCCCCCGTGATTCAGAATTATTTTATTCTGTTCATCTGATTGCATCTGGATTCGAACTTGGGTCTGTATTTCAGCAGTTCATCAGGGGCCTGGACCCACTAGGGAAGTATTCTACGACGTCTGACACAGTTTTATGGTTTCTTGGAAAATACGAAGTGATTTTTATTTGCATGAATGGATCGTTTTCTGATTTAAAATGAATTGAAATAGCACATAAAACTATGAAGAACAGCTGTGCACCCGAATTCATGGGTTGGTACCATCTCCTTCACATAAGTCTTTATAGTGATGTACCGTGGCAATAAAATGCGTCCACGAACACATTCACGAGGATGAACAAGTAATGGGTATTGGGATACATTCCTCGCCATGTATCTCATGATGCCTTTAGCAGGCCATCCGACAGAAGCGGAAGCGTTCCTGTCAGGTCCACCACAATATTCGAATTTCACACTTCAAGTTCTATTTCTCAGAGCCGGAAAAAAAAACAAAAAACGAAGTCTGGAAATCAACCCCCCCCCTTTAGAGCCCATAAAATCCAGACTTCCCGCCCACGCAAAGCCACGAGCTATCATGTCCAAGTTAGTCCAACTTTTTTTCTTTTTTTTTTTCGACGCATCTCATTGGACGGGAGGTGGGCATCTTTACAGTCCCTTTCGGAAACTACCAGGCCGTCGAGATCCGATGTATTGGACGGCCGTACTGAGTCACTCGATGCCACATGTGATAGAAATCCTGAACGGAGTGGTAGAATACCTTGCTAGTGGGTCCAGGCCCCAGGTGTACCAACTGAGCTAAGCCCGTTGGTGTCTCCCATTTGTTGTCTCTAATGACTCTCTATTACTACTTTTTTTTTTTTTTTCCCTTGCCCGGTATGATCCAGGCACTCTGGCCAGGTTCGTACCGAGGTTGCCATTTCATTTCACAAACCGGAAAACGGGTCCGGCGTCCCTCACATCAAAACATAGTTTCTAAAAATTCCTGGCCAAGAAGACCAACTGCAATGAAAAGCCTACAAAACCCCAACCAAGTACTATATGAAACCAAAAAAGCCCTGTTCTTTCCCCCCCCTACCGATCAACATGCTACTTCCCATCAATCTGCAGAAGAAGGTCGAAGCCTGCTTCAGTCAACCACCGTCACATGCACACACAATCAAAATCGTAGCACAGCTTCACTCTCGGCCTTTCTCCAAGCCAACGAGCTCTCCACCCCACCCGCCAGCCCATAGAGCACAATGTCGATAAAACCACTCAAATTAGTAATGTCTTACTGTCTTCACAATTTAATTTGATCATTTTTTCCAATAAATTTCACTTCCATTTCTTTTCTATCAATTTCACTGTTATTGTTTCCTTTTTTTGCCTATCAACTTCACATTTGTTTTTTCATATTTTCCCCTATATAAATTTCAGTTTATTGACTTTGTCATCGTTTATTGTAGGTGCTGTATTATGACATTGGGTTATCAATGGTCAAAGACTGCTCACAGACCATTGCTACTGTGATCCATGATTATTTGCTTTTTATATTAAACCGCCAGCACCTTTCCCAGCTATCAGCAGCGGCCCCTGGGCGCTGAGTTTTGGCGCCACATCTGGCCACCACTGGAGGCCGAACCGGCACGAAACGGCAAAATGGCTGGGAAAGGTACTGGTGGTTACAAAAAAAAAAAAAAAAAACCAGATCTGGTGGCTACTGCCGGTCG